AAAGCCCTTTGATCACAAAAGCTTGCTTCACATAGTAAAAAAAAAATAATAATTTTACACTTATTGTCTCTCTTTCATCTGAAAAATAAAGCGGTAGGTTTAAATGTCTAATTTTTACCTGAAAAATAAATCAGATAATGGAATAACTTTCAAAATGATGTATAGACAAGGACTATTAAATAAAAATGGCAATATGAAAATACAGGAATAAACCCTCTTAGTCATATTCTGTTGAAAGGAAAATTCCATGACACTTGCTTATATGGAATATTTGCTTCTACCCGTATTCATTATAAAAATAAACCTTGTATCACAAATTGAAACCCCTATGTCACGGACTTCTTGTTATTTAATATTTGAAATAGAAGTCTTCATTTCCAGTGTTTGCCAAATCCAAGTCACTATGTCTATTTATAGAAATAATTCAAGACTTCCAGAACTGACTGGTTATCTTTATGGATTCAGATTTAAGTGTATTTAATGGAAAACAAAGTACTTTTTTTTACTTTCGAAATGATCCTTGCTTCCATTATTTCGTCTTATCAGATAAAAATTTTCGAAATATCTTAATATCTGTAGTTAGTAAATATAGATAGTGAAATCTGACAAGGTAGTGTTTTCTCTCAAAGATTGCTCAAGTAAAAATCCAAAGAGTATTTATGAACGTTATGTATAAATCCTACGAAAAAGCTTTATATTATTATTGTCAACTGAAAATAAATTTTTAGATTTAGTGCATATTTTTAGGTATTTTTTATTTCGAAAATGATCATGCTGCGAAATAATCATTCAAAATTTAAATTGAATTCTATCTGAAAATATAGAGTCAAAATGATCTTCCTGGTCACTTGTTAAAAACCTGAATGACTCTATCAAGTTTATTTTAACGAAATAAATATGTTACTCTAAAAAAAACACAAATCTTAATTTTTTTGAAATAAAATACAAGGTACTAAATAAAAAATAATTTACATAAAATGTATGTTTTTTAGATATGAAAATTTTAAGTTCTGAAAAAATATGAATATTAAAAATGATATAAAATATATGTTTTTGGAATAAAATGTAAGTGGCATAAAAATTAAAGGTACTTTAAAGTTTTTCCAAGCCGTACTAATACTCTCCATCTATCATACCTTTATAGTTGAATGTGTTATTTTCTTTATTAATTTTCTTGATTGCATTATCAGATAGTTTATCGTGACGTTTTGTAAGAAAATACTAGTGGGCAAGCCTTCCATATGAGTGGGCTACAGAAAAAGCACAATTTATAAGTTCTATGTACCCTTGAAAATTAAACGTATAAAAATATTTCAGTATACATGAAATCAGTTCATTCTTTCCAGGAAACAACCAATGCGTAAATACATTTTTTATTGCCAAACCAGGAAACAAAAACTTTTGACATTTCAGTTTAGCACATATGACGTCATGATTTAAATTGAATGCAATGCAAACCCATTTTCTAAATATCAATAAACAAATTAACGTAGCAATAACATATCCTGTCAATTATACTAAACTGAAACAAAGAGTTACCAAAAGTAGCTATTTATTTAAAATGCTGACATTAACGAATATTTTCGGCATACAGTGAGGTCAATCGCATGCTTTCTTGAACGTCAGAATATTACCTTATATAATAATAATATGTTTAATGTTTGACAATTTTTGGGCTATTTTTAGCCCAAAAGGGGTAATTTGCCCAGAAGGGCTGTTAATTTCGTTTTGGCATTTTGCGCCCATTATAAAACGGCGTTTCACTTTTCAAATTGTTGCCACCAAATATTAGAGTCCTGCATTATGTTTAAGGAAATAAAATAATAATGAAGAATCTGTCTGAATGTATGCATATTTCTCGCCTTGTGAAAAAATACCGTACCTTGCCAGACAAAAAAAAATTTCAATAACGTAGTCCTCCACTCAAGTATGTGCATCTGTAATCCTAAATTTGGAACTTGGAATTTATTTTATTATATATTTCATATTTTGTAAACCTTTAACAAGTTTTTGATTAACAAACTCATCGATTTCAAAGCCAGCAGTGACAACACTGTACCAAAAGAAAAACATTTTTATCTCCAGCGCGCGAGACTATATATCGGAAATTCTTAAGATATGCTCTTTTTAAATATTTTGCAATATTACTGTTGAATTGAATTTTATGGGTTAAGTGCGAAGAACATGATATTTAATAAATAAAGGATAAATAAATGTTAATAAAACACCCCTTTGGGCGTAATATAAAATCCGAAAGCTTTGAAATTTTTTATTATTTTATTATTTCATATTCTGTAAAATTTACAAATTTTGCATTAACAAATTCTACGATTTGATAGCGAACAGTGGCTGCACGTTTCGAAATAAAGCTAATTTTCACCTCCAGCTTACGAGACTGTTGCCATTCGGAAAAGGGAGAGCGAAAATTAGCGTTTTCTGGGTTTTTAATTAATATCTCAGCTGATTACAGTTGTACGAAGATGAGAGTGATCGAAATGGCTTCCCATGAATTTTTCGAATCCGGGGGGCATCTATCCCGAAACTGAACTTCCCGCCATTCCGGAGGAGATAGTGCCAGAAAGAGACAGACACGCACAGATTTTAATAGTATAGAGTCTTTTCTCTGTCATCTACTTCTATTTTACGATACGTGAATCTCTATATAAGTGGAAACCTCAAACATATCTCATTTGAAGTGAACATATTGAAATGATTAATGTTAGAGCGAAACGCATATAGAACAGCGAGATAAACTGTGAATAAAGCAACTTTCGTAAAAGCCTTTGGCCATGCTCTGAGCGCACAGAAAATATTCTTAGAACTTTTTAAATGCGTTATTTCAGCAAGATCACATATAAAAATTCGAAGAGTTTTATTTATTTATAGATTGCAATATGTAATGTGCTATGCACCCGTAACTTTTGCATTAAGTGAAAAACTAAAATATTAGCTAGATACATTTTTTTTCAGTATTCAGTTTATTATCTAAGCTTGGAACTGAATTTGCAGTATTTAGTTTCATACCTGTATTTAGGTTATTAATCCCAATTTAATTTGATTCTGTGATAAATATTTTATTTGTAACTATTCGCTACATTTGAAATTAATAAATAACGATCATTTGTATCTTTACTTTGCAATATGTTCATTTATAAACGTACAGTGAACTAAATATATTTCTCTATCTTGAGTGCATAATTGGAGCATATCTTTTAAAAAGACAAGGGGATAGTTTAAAATGAACTAAATACTTTTTGGGCTAGAATCTCAACTGATGAAAATAAGTTGTCTGCCGTTGATGTACTCATTCGGTGTGACGGAACAACCACCAACTCACTTCATGACACCGGCATAGCAGTTACAGGGCGTAGCAACGACTCTAGCATACAGTGGGCATTCCATAAAGAAAAGAAATCACTAAAAAACTTAAATGCTGGTAATTATAAAAGATTAACGAAAGGATCATCTTGATTTCAACAGAGCAACTGCTAGGGGGTTCCCCTTGTTTATGCCTGAATACAAAGAAAAAATATTGATTAGTGTTATACAACTTATGTGCTATTTTAAAAGGATTTTAGATCTATAGTAGGTTATATTGCTAGGACCGAACAGTGACCGATGTAGAGTAGGAATGGCATCAGCACAGGATCCACATCGGCATACAACTGACATTTATTTACTGGCATAATGGTAACATTCGTAGGACCGACATGGCGAAAAACTGACACTGCGTAGGCAAAAGATTAACATCGGCATACAACCCACACTAAATTACTACCGGCATAATGGGCTACATTCATAAGAACGACAGGGAATAGAACAGATACTGCATATGGCTGCCACGGTATAGAATCGTAAGTGCGTATGGCCCACATTTTGTAGTGCCGACACTGGCACAAGACACACATCGACATACGACCGATACTAGTTACTGGCATACGATCGACACGATAAAATATATATTTTGTTAATGATATTATAATTAGTAAGAAGGCCATATCTGTGGCCTTCACAGAACTTTCACAAGCATAAGATCGACACCGGCATAACATCGACAAGGAGTAGCAAAGACACTGGCATGCAGTGGACATTCCATAATGTTGCCGATGGTTATAATTAGCAACATCACACAATAAAGAGGGAAATAATTTGATTAAACTGTTAGTCTTTCTTTAGGGTATATGCATAGGACTGACAACGACGAAAGACCATAAAATCAAAACCGGTTTTTGAGGTGGTCGATCCTATTTCAGCAGAGAGGCTATCAGTTTTATCCAATGTAAGTTCAGTGCCTCATTCTCTTTGTAGTAACCTATGATCCCCATGAGGGCTGTTATTGACACTGTGAAGGAATGACAATGTTTCCTTTCCGAAAAGGGGAAGCGGCAGAAGGACTTACCAGTACCTTGCAGCTTGTTTTTCTTCATGGGTGAAGCGGAAGGTGGTGGTACACGAGCTGTCTCACTCATGAACCCGTTTCTGGTAGTGGTAATGCTGCGTTGGCTTACTTATGAACCGCAGTGGTGTTGTCTATTCAAAGCAGGTTCAGAGAGAATGCTACTTGTGGCAACGACTGGTGATACGATACTGGTGGCAACGACTGGTGATACTTTGGACGCGGACCGGAAATCCATCACATCTTGTTGTAAAATCTATGATGAAACATGGGCGCACTATTTACTCCACGTTTAAAACAAACACGCATGCAATGATGACATTCAGGTTTAACATGCAGTTATTCAAAGATTTAAAAAAAAAGTTTTCGGCGTTGGAAGATATTAATTGCAGTGAGAAATGACTACATAAAAAAATAGGCACAGTCGCTCATTGTATACAATAAATAAAGTTTAATTGATAAATGTATGTTTGTATTTGAATAGTTTTCATATTAATCACAACCAAACGTCTGAAGTCCTATCTTAATTATTTTGCTTTGGAATTCCCCTTTGTGTGATTATATTAATCTTATAGTCCTTCTTTTTCTTATAGGTAAACTGGTTTTTCGCAACCCTCTGCATGATCCAAGAGTGTACGAAGGAGCACCTTTAGGTATCCACGTAACTACTGTCGTCGCATATGATCCCGGGAGAAAACCCGTTATGTATAATTTGCTGGATGTGAGGGACCACACCTACTTCAGCATGGACGCATCATCGGGTAACATTTCAACAGCAAAGACCATTGATAAGAAAGTTGGAGACACTTATGAGGTATCATTACGTATTTCCCACTGTTACACTTTTGCCACTTTCATATATATTCCTAACTGAGAGTTTATTGCGCAACGATTCGTATAACCTCCCTTTTGAAGTTTTAACAAACTTTTGCTCACAAAATTCTGTAGCATATTCGAAATCTCGAACTAAGCTTTATTTTTATACTTTCAATGTAGCTATATTTGCTGTTTTTGCCGCCCAGGTCGTTAATCATCCTGATTACAGTACCAAAAGGACCAGGTACGAATCCTGGAGAAGGCATTGATGTAATTTGTCCGTCCCTTCATAGTAGGCAATGGTAGCCTATTTATTAGTGCTTCCATAATAAAGAGTCCACCGTTTCTGGTCTTAGTTGTGTCCAACATCTATAAACGCCTGCAGCCCGCCATTAAAAAAAATAATTGCTATTTACATAAAAAGTCAAATACTAATAATTATCTTGAATGGTAAATGGCCAGGAACCTTCTCTGGTGCCCATTGCGGAGATCAAGCCTTGAAACCTAAGCTGTGGGCCATTGGCAAATTGTTAGACGCAATCCAGAATACCGCAAGAAACAGTGAATGAATCTATCTTAAAAATAAGAATTTGGATAACATTTTAAAAGCCTAGAACGAACCGATGGAAATAAAGTGTTCACATTATATGATAACAAAACTGTAGTAAATACATGATCACTTGAACGCAATGACAGCAGACAACTCAGCATTATCAAGGTTTCATGACCCATTGTGCATCCCTGATTCAATGATAAAAGCTTCCATTATACCTCCGTTATCTATCTTTCCTCCTTATTTCCATTTCATGTTGAGAAAATTTTTTCCCTTTATTTTTTCCTGTTAAATCTCATCCATTTCTGTTAAATAAATAAATCTTCATATTCTTAGTTTGAGATTTCCACTTTTTTGTGCATGATAAAATGCCGATTTTTAGAAATCTTATATATTCCCTTAACTAAATTTCATTTGCAAAACTTCTTTTCTAATTGAAATATTATTCTGAGTAAAATGTCCGGTTTTAACATACAAAACCATATCCCAAATAAAGCCTTTTTCTTCCCAACTAACTGCTGGAACAATGAATATTCACTGTTTCGCATGAATAATTACATACTAATGAAGAACAACATTCCAAAACTTTTTTTCAACCAACTGCAAAGCCTTTAATTAAAGCAATTAATTCACGAGTATAAGTTCTTACGAAAGCAGACGTGTCCTATGACGAATGAAATGCAGAACGGTTTGAGCGAATGCCAGATTCTCGCATTTTAAAGTTTGAAACGCTTTATTATCCCTTTTCAGGAGTAAAAATGCTTTAGCACAAAAGATAATTGTTGGGAAATTTACGCTCATGTTCTTTGTTTTTAAGAAGAAATCTAGAGATCTGCATTCACAAGCAAGTCTACAAAGATTCAACGCCTTTCTTAATTTTTCATCTTTGGAAACGTTACTAAAATGTTTCACATATTCAGTATTATTAAAAGATACTATAAAATGATTTTGTTTATAGTTTTTAGGGCCATTACATTAGAATTTTCACTCTGAAATTGCATTATATGAGATCTTTATGTTTCTGAAAGGCAGCCTATTAACTGTTATTTATCAGCAAGGATACAATCTTTTCGTAGCAAACACCTCCCTAAAATGACCAGTATTTCTTACAGTATAAATAAACATTTATTATAGTAACTACAGGGTTGTTATTTAAGAAGACCATTTCTTAATTCGACGGGAACCCTTTCAAATACATGCTAAGATAATCCTCTAAACTAAACTAAAATAATTTATATACTAAACGAATTATCATTGGTTTGATAGAAAATAGTAGTTACTGTGCAGAGACGTTTAGAATTTTACGAAGCCAAAGAACGAAGACATCCTCAATACTTTTCGCCGAGATACAAATTCCTTATCTTCTCATTACTAGCAGGGCTTGCTTTTAAAGACAACACGATGGCACGTGGCAAGAACTAAGAGAATACTTTATACTCTTCTCCATTTAAAGGGCGACTGGGAAGGTTGGGAAATATTGGTGGTGACGAAATACCGTCCATTACATTTTAGTTCTGGGGCTATGGTAAAATCATTTTGAATTTTGTGAAGCCAGAAAACCGAAGAAATCCACAGTATCCTGACTGAGATTCGATTTTCAGAATTTACAGTTACTATCAGAATTTGTTTCTAAATTACACCACGAAGGCACGTGGCAAGAAGGAAGAGAGAGTCTCATAATTACATGATCGATATTTGTACGTAAATAATGTTTATTCACTCTTATTATAATCTCATTTAAGTGCGATAGTGTTTATTCTTGCGAAATGCCTTCTGATATGCCAATGACAACACTGATATTAATCATCCTGGGTCTATTGTGATTTCATGTATGTTAACAAGCTGCTCTTATCAAGTCAAAAATTTCCAATTATCCATGCATATTTTGCAAGTAAGATTAATTCCTGTCAAAAGACACGGTAAAAATTGTTGCCAATAATTACTCGTCGGTTATCATCGAATAGTATAAAAAAGAAATCTCTGCAACTCTGTTATCTTTATTTTTGATTGTAAATGGTATTCATAAGTAATGCACGAAAACTGTAGACCAAATAAATGCACTTTAATATTTGATAGCTACGTTCTCACAAATTTTTATCACTAAGTATGAAGTTTATAAGATTTTTTTTATTTGGAGAGATGTTTAATTCTAATCAGTTTGTCCATTCGTTTCTTGAATGATTGATATCAATGGCACAAGCCAGTGGTAATTATGCATTTAATTCTTTCCTCAGGGGAAAGATACCAAATTTTGTTTATAACTACCTTCTTAAAATAAGGTAGAACACATAGTTTATGAAAAGTGCTTATTTCAAGGAAGTGTTTTTAATATTGTTGCGTGCGTAAGGGTTCGTAATGGATTGAATGCACAAGTCGATAAAAAGTTAATAAAATTTATTCTTATCCTAAGAAATAAACCAAAAAGGCTGATATTTCCTCAGAGATATTCGTATAATATCACAATATCTCACAGTAGTTATATTTGAAACTTCTGAAATATAAATAGAACTCAATTTAAAACAGAGAAAGCTAATCCGATCTCACCGAGAATTCGCTGCAACCAACAACAAAAACATAGTAAAAACTGAACTAAGATGTTTTAATCCGGCTTTAATAAGCTTTTTAATCAAGCACGAGAAAATTCTGGTAGTATCCATTTTCTCTATTTTTCTGCAATAGAGTACAATTACGAGATATCTGTTTATTAAAATGTTAAACGGGCGTATTTTAATTTTTCCAGCTTAGCTTTTTCTTCAAATATGTCCCGTGCGGCATTGTACGGGAATATAAAACAATTTTAATTACAAATTCTACTCAAAATAGCTACAATAAATACAAATTCCGTAATAATATTATTCTTTTCGGAATAACTTTATATGCATATGTTAGGATGTACATTTAGCACTTAGCAAGTGATTTTAACACAGGTTACAGATTAATATGTAGGTTGTCATGCACATACTCTATGCTACCGACCAAACCTGCCGGAAGAACAGACTTATAGCTGAAAGCCAACGACTTATAGCTGAAGGGAGAGAGGAGAAAATCTGGCAACGAGAAGAAGAAACGTGCTTGATGCGAGAAGAACGGCATGCTCGTGAGAAAAAAATTGAAATTAGTTTGGCTGTATTCCGAGAGAAATTTTTTTTTTTTTTTTTTTTTTTTTTTTTTTTTTGTTAAGAGCTGAGAGATGCAATGTATTACTTGAAAGAGGAGAGAGGAGAAAATCTGGCAACGAGAAGAAGAAACGTGCTTGATGCGAGAAGAACGGCATGCTCGTGAGAAAAAATTTGAAATTAGTTTGGCTGTATTCCGAGAGAAAAGTTAGCTTTTTTTTTTTTTTTTTTTTTTTTTTTTTTTGTTAAGAGCTGAGAGATGCAATGTATTACTTGTGCGTTTGATGTAAATGTGAATAAAAGCAATACTTTATGAAAAGTTAAACTGTATTTACAAAATTAAAATATAGCTCATGTTATTGTTAAACCTGCATAAGTGTCCCAGTTTATTTCCTGCAAATAGAGTTGACTAGTAACATTCATAAGTGGATAGAAACGAACCGACAAAGATGAATTGATCAAAGGATCGAATTTATGACAGTAAATTTTAAAAATCATCGTAATAAATTAATTAATTTATTACGATGATTTTTAAAAGGCTTGGAAATTATCCATATATTTCAACTTGCTGTTCAACTTGCTAATTTTTCAAATTAATTAATATTTCTGTAAACTTTTTCTTTCAGCAATTTAACTTTTTTTAACATTCTAAATCGTATCTCCCTTTACCGCACAAAACAATTTTGAAATCATTTAAGTAACAAGAAAGTAATTGTAACTTATTTCTTTAATATTTGTACAGCTTTGGTGATGTATGTTCCTTCTTAGAAAGCTGGTAAAGCAAGATTTCCAAGTTTTCCCTTTCATTAATTTCACTTACTTTTCAGGATAGTGGTTTAAAACTAAATGGATCCTATATATTCTATTAAAATAAAAACTGTTGATTTTAGAATTTAGATTCTTTAACATTTTGTAAATAATTTTTATAATCCACCAGAGTCGTGATTTTATTCATGATGTTCAACAAATTCAAAATTCTTTTGGTTACGGATAAAAACAGTAACCATTCTTTCAGACGTATAATTAAGCATCTGTTATTTAGTATTTAAAATTTTCTTCTAAACCTCTCCGCATATTTATTAATACTAAAGTACAAGGTTATGAGGCCATAGGCTTTCACAGAAAAGAAATCTAAAGAAGGCTACTTACCTAAATATTATACTGAACAAATTCTTAAGCATTCTGATAATTTATTCAAAACTGTGTTTAAATCTATTTTTCGTAATCATTTTTTAATTTAATTTTACTTATTTATTTGGCAGTAAGCAGAACGTTAATTCTACCTCTAATGTGATAGATTTTTAGATATGTTCGATTTACCGAAATAGA